CCCGGCGGGAATACTCCGAAGCTTAAGTTAGAACGTTGGGGAGGAAGAAAAGAGTATAAAAGGCGAAGAGTGTTGGTCGCGCTAGATCACTGTCTCTCAAGATTAGATCGTGAGCAAGTAAGAATTCAAGTTCAGATCCAATTCAAGAGAATCCCCTTCCCTTCGATTAAAGGGCTTTTATAGGGGCGTTCCTGTCAAATCGGGGGTAACCGCCACTGGGCTCCTGTCACAGCTGTTACCTGCCAGATCTGCGCAAGTGATCATTACAACATACTATCCGCTTGGATGAGTGACACGTCCCGAAGGGACAGGCATGCCACCATCTGTCGAGAGACGTGGGTGCAGACTGTCAAATGGGCAGGGACTGCGCCATCAGTCGAGAGACGTGGTGCAGTTTGACGGGTACGGCCTTGTCAGATAGAAACTTCCTGAGAGCATTGCATTGCATAGTTGCGAGCTACCTTGTAGCGAGCTACCCTGTCGTGTAGCGAGCTATCTTTGCCGCGAGCTACTTTGTAGCGAGCTCCTAGGGATACTTCGAGGTGACCCTCATCGAGATTGTCTTTAGGGCAGTTTTTTTGCCTAAGTGTTGGAGCGAGCTGATTACCCTAGCTCGCGACCTGAAATAGTCTTGGAGTATTCCCTTCTCAGTAGCTCGGGGGGACTTAGAGCTTGCGCCCCCTACAGTGAGCTATGACGTAGCAAGCTGTCCTACAGGCTCGTTACTTAGTTGCAGTCAGGCTGTGGTGTAGAGCTGTTGCTCGTGCTGAGTCAGGTCCATGTGTCATCGTCTCAATGGGTTGGGTCAAATCATCCTCCCATCACCACTATTAATGTTCTCTGTTTGACTACGCCAATTTTGTGAGTGTTTATTTGAAAAATAAGAGTTTTAAAATAAGTGTTTATTTTAATAAGTGCTTAGTGTTTTGTGAAAAAGAACTTATTTTAAATAGGGATAATATTATCAGGCTCCATTTGGTTTGTGGGAATAGGAGTTTGGAATTGGAATTGGAATGGGTTATTCCGATTCCAACTATTTGGTTGGGTGGAATCGTAATCCCATTCCCATTCTTGTTGGAATGGCATTCTCCCATTTGATGGAATGACCATTCCTTGCCCCTCACTTGGAAATGAAATCCCATTCCTGCTTATTCCCATTTCCATTAATTCCTATTCTTGTTTGAACCAAACAGATTATGGGAATGGATCACTCCGATTCCGATTCCAAAGAATTTCGATTTTGATTCCAACTGCGAACCAAACGGGCCTTAAGTATTTTCTAAATGACATGATGGACTGAAATAGATAAAAGAAAAATAAGCATTTATTGAATAAACACTTAAAAATTAATAGCATAAAATTTGAGCTTCTCAATAAGTATTTATTGTTAAAATAAATAATTATTTCGGGTTTATTTCCCAAATACCATTACAGAGAGTCGGAGAGAGAGAGAGAGGGACAAACTATACTCGGAGGCAAGCTACTCTGTGCAGGGGGTCTATCCACCGATTGCCAATTTTGCTAGAGGTGACTGGTTTAGTAGAAGCTCGTGCAGATAGAGATGTTCAGGTGGCAAGGTCTTTGGGTTACATTTATGGGGCATGGAAGCTTTCATAAGAGAAGCTTTTCGAAGGTTTGAAGCAGGGGCGCGATCCAAAAGAGGGGATGTTAGTGTCGTGCAAGATGATCTAGAAAGTAATGATTGGTTGAAGCCGATGAGGTCTTTAAATATGGGGGTGTCTCGGGGAGTATATATGAAGAAGACTGATAGAGGAGGAAGAAAGGCAACTAGGGGTAGAGGAGGTAGAGCAAAATTGTCAGGGTGGTAGTGCTTCGGAGATTTTAGATTTAGGAATTGCTAGAAGCAAAGTTTTGGGTCCTAAGTTTTCTCCGAATTTGTTTTTTTTTTTTTTATTGTTTTGTTTGTTGGGTTCTCCTTTGGTGTGGTTATTTTTGTTGTGTTAGTGTGCCGTTTCTTGGAGTGCTTCTTTGGGCGCTTGTCTTAGCCTTAGCTAGCTTGTATTTCTCTCTTCTCTTCTTCTCTTTTTTCCTTTTTAATAAAATTTTTTCCATTTACTCTTAAAAAAAAGTGGTCCTTGATTTAGGGTGATTTGGCCCGATCTAGTAATAGGGGGACACGTGGACACAACCTAACTGACAGGATGACAGCTCACTCCGACACATCAAGTCTGCAAATTGACCGAGCTCGGATAACCAAACCACCTCGGGGCAAGTCCACCTCGGGGTAAGTCCACCTCGGGACAAGTTCACCTCGGGATACAATCGCATAAGGACCACCTCGGTTCCAAGGCACTTCGGCATTCGAATTAGGTCGGATCCAAAGGGCACTAGCTCGGGTAATAGTGACTGACCACTGCATGACAACCCCAAAGATCTCGCCACCAGATTCCACGCTTTACGGGATCACGCCTCGTAACCGCTAGCCTTATCTCCCTCGACCGATTCAGGCGGCAGTGATAAGCCTTATCGGCTAGTAGCGTTATCTCCTGTTAATACGGAAATGGGCCTCTTCATAGCAAGGATCCCGAAACCACTCCGAAAAACCTACGAAGACTCCAATATATAAAGACCCCAACCCTCCAGGGGCAAAGGTACGCGTAATCTCTGCTCACTAGCTCTCTTGCTTTCTAAGCTACCATTAGCTCGCAAATTACCGACTTAAGCATCGGAGCGACCTCGCCGGTAAGCACCCCCCTGGTTCTCTGATTCTCTCTGTGCAGATTAGCCAACTCCGTCGTCTACTGGAAGCCAAGTCATCTCCAACTAAGAGCAGTCAGATTGCATCGCATCAGTCCTGGCCCAAATAAGTACTTATTTTTAGAATTCCCATTAGGCTATTAAGTCTATGTTTGGTGAATAAGTGGTTTGAGAAATAAACACTTATTTTTAAGTACTTATTTGAATAAGTACTTATTACTATTTGACGGGTCCTTTCCCAAATCATTTATTTTAAATATTTATTCAAATAAGTATAAGTGGTGAGACCACACAATAACTAACAAATAAGAACTTATTTATGTTTTGTAAAAAAAGTTAAGAATAAGTACTTATTTTGAAATAAGTGCTTAAAATCAGCTTATCCAAAGCTGCTTGTTTTACACACTTTTTTCAAAATAAGTACTTATTTTTTACTTTTTTACCAAATATAAATAAGTACTTATTTGTCACTTATTGTGTGGTCTCACCACTTACTTGAATAAGGCTATGTTTGATGAATAAGAGGTTGTTAAAAGAAGTAAACAAGTACAACCACTTAAGAATGTTTGGTGACTCACTTGCCAAATCACTTATTTTGTTTTTTAAGCATTTATTGGATGGGGATGTTTGGTGAATTACTTTCCCCATAAATGCTTATATTAGCATAAATGACAGCTTTAACCCTCACTTCACTCATACATATAAACAATGCTTTCCATATAATTATAATATACATTTCAATGAAAAATTACCACATCACCACATCATGACACATGAGAGCCCATGTGGGCCCACACATTGAGTGTCACATGGATAACAACAACAACAGCAACAACAACAACAACAATAATAATAATAATAATAATAATAATAATAATAATAATAATAATAATAATAATAATAATAATAATAATAAATAATTTCAGAAAGCATTTAAATGATCGATTTTCATAAAGTACTTCCAAAAAACACTTTCAAGGATCAATTTTCACAAAAGTACTTTCAAAAAGTATTTTCAAGGACCACTTCCAACTTCAACAATCTTTTTTTGCATGATTTTTAACAAAAAAAAAATCAGATTTCTCATACCAAACCAAAATACTCTCAAATTTGACAAATAATCATACAAAAAAAAAAAAAAACACCAAACATGAAGGGGAGGAGTTGGCGGAACTAACCCCCTTGTCGCTAGCTAGACGGTGAGATTATTGTTGTTAAACTCTTCCAAATCGTAGAAAAATGGCTTAATATGAAGACAAACTTCACAAAATGTAAGAAAATGGAAAAACGACAGGCCCGTTGGTCGTTTTTCCTCACCGTTGATCGTTGTTGGTGGGCCTGTAACTGGGGTGCACCGCTACTTGATTCACTATGTTTGAATAAGAAGAGAAGGTGGTAAAACCCTCATGTGGGGGTATTTTGAGTATTAAAAAATACCAAAGACTGATTTGTCCCTTTCTATTGAAAAAAGCACTAAGTGCTAGAAAAAAAACCAAATTCAAATCACCTTTTTAAGAAGTATTTTTTTAACAAAAAGTATTTATTCTCCACTTTTTACCAAATACAAATCACTTGCCAAAGGAGGAGCAGCCGGCCAGCAACATTGAGAAAAACCAGAAACCTAAACTTCCACAGGCTCTCGTCGACCTCCATTTCTTCAAGAACATAACCTTTGCACGCCAACCAATCCACAGCTCTGTTACCTTCTCTGAAAGTGTGCTCATAGTGGAACATAGCCCGACTCCTTTGCTTGATCTGCATGTACTCCTTGAAGATAAAATGACACGTCCAACGTGGTTTTGATTTTCCTTGCAGACTAATAGAGAGTCTCCTTCGATGATGGTCTCCCCAGCATTCACTTGAAGATCAAGTTTGTGGGCCTCAAGGGCAGCTCACATCTCATTTACCGAAATTGTAGAGGCGCCTATTTGACCTAATTTGGTGTGTAAGGCTTCATTGAAATGATTCTAGACAATACAACCAAAGGCACAGGATCCCTTAGCATAGGTTGAGGCATCAAAATTAATTTTAATGGATCCTGCATTAAGAGGAATCCATTGTAGGAAAATAAAAAAAAAGACATAATGGACTTTATGGGTTGTCACTTTCCAAATGGAAAACTTGTAGAACTTTAGTATTGCAAAATTGTGAATAAGAGAAATGGCCAAATTCTAGTATCTTCGCGGACGGTCGTTATGACCGTCACTATACAGACAACTGAGTTGGCATTATTATAAAGACCTCTATCTATAAAACTAAAATAAAGAAAATAAAAATCTGGCCAGCGGTCTTTGAGAATAGATACAAAACTTTTGCATTTAAACAGACTTGAGCCAGTGTAAATAATTGGCCTCCTACGTTTGAGAAAGAGAGAGGGAGAGCAAAGATCCAAAAACTTAAAATCCCGCCTTCTTCTACTTTGCCTGTTCAACGAATTCTTCTTCTTCTTGTAAAACTCTTTTGGAAATTGATCGATTGATGGATTTAGAAAAGCTTTTGACGAAAAAGGGAAAGGTAAGGCCTCTTCTTCTTCTTCTTCTTCGTTGTTGATTCAGTTGTGTTTTCTCCGATTCTAGGGCATTTTCTTCTTCTTCATGGTTGATTCAGTTGTGTCTTCTCTGATTCTAGGGCATTCGATGAATCTAAAATTATTTTTCTTCATGGTTTGATCAATAGTGCTATTCATGCAAGCTCCGAATTATGTGTGGCCTCTAAAGGGTTTTAGGAGGGTTTATTAATCAATGGACTATTGTCGGTGTCGAGAAGATTCTTTTCCGCCTTGTTGTGCTTGTATTGGTCCGGTCTCTTCAGGTATTTGTCTTTGGATTCTATGGACTACCTGTTTTAATTTGTTATTGAACATGATACAAAAATCAAGGCAGAGTATACTTGGATTTCATGACGTGTTATGGATGAAATACCGAGGGCTGAATATATATTGGGATTATTAATATGTTCAAAAACAGGAAAACCCTAACTTAAGCTTCCAGAGTTAGAGAGCTTGTATTTTATTCTTTTGTTTGTCTATTACTTTCGTGTTGTGCTTGTGGTTGCACACGTGAATGCGTTCTGTATACACTAAGTTACATAAGATTGTCTCCCGATTCCAATGTGGTTGCATGCTGTGCTTGTGCTTGTGGTAACAAAGTGTCATATAATTTCCAAAGAAATCCTAGAAATAGAGAATATGGAATTCTTTGATATTAAATCCAAACATTCATTAGCCACAGGTAATTTACATAAGATTGTTTACCTTGAAACTTCTAAAAATTGCTGCTTGAGTAAGAACATATAACTCCGGCAGTAACTCCCTCAAACTTGAACGAAAACACTTACGATGACCAACTACTACTTAAAATACCATTCCTGAACACTAAACTTAATTTTATAATCCATGAAATTATTACTTGTGCTACTTTGTAGCTGGAACATTTTTTATGACTCTCATTGATATTCTTTTGGTCATATGGAATTCTTCCTTCCTATATCCGAGCATTAAGTATTAAGTGTTGATTGGGGGAAATTCAAGCAATAGTAATATGACGTGGTCCCTTGGTTTCTAAGCCAACTCCAAAAATTTGCAATTGTGGATTTAGTCCTCATGACTTCAAAGACTAAAAGTTTGCTACAAACAGTTAGAAGTCCAACTTTATCTTCATAAAATCAGTCGAAAACCTCATAGCAGAAGAGAGAGAAACAGTACAAGTGTCCAAATTTAGTTTATAAATAAGAAGTTGAATGAATTCAAATTGAGAATATTTACCAATTTGTTTTCTCACCTAGTTTTTCTTTATTTATGTTTGAATACCCCTGTTTGTTTCAACACATAGAATTGCTTAGACCTACAACTGATTAAAAACCCCAATCTAAATAATGAAACATGAGATGCCAAGATACCCGTAGTGGTTGCTCCTCCTGCATCATCTGTTCATCAGAAACAAGATCCCATTAAACTCTTTAATACCTATAATTCAAACACAGTAAATCCCCTATAGTTCAGATCAGAACAGCTCAATCAATGGGGCAGGATTTATTATTTATGAATATCAAGAGGAAATGTTAGGTGCTTACACATTTGATTTGTAGGTTATATATCAAGGATATATCCTTTTAATAACAGGACAGTATTAATCACATAGTAGAAGATTAAATTCGATGTGTATAATTTTTGGAAAATGACCTCGTAAGTGTTGATAAATAAGTAGGCCATATGTACATCCGGAACAAATAAAAAATAATAAATTCCTAACAGAAACTTCTTTGTTCCCTTGTATGAACTTTTATTAACAAATAAGATCTTGATGTTTGTAACCTTTTGGAATGCTATAAATTTTAAATTTCATGAATGTAAACTCCCATGAGTAAATAGGTACAATCAATAAAAGACATAAATTTCTTTCCTTTTTGACCATTAACAAACCCACAAAATTTCTACCAGATAAATAAAAATGTACAAAGGATACATCAGAAACCCACACTACGTTAGAATTTAACAGCTCTACCATCTAATTAATCAATCTTAAAACCCAAGAGAAAGAAACACCTATTCATGTTTGATGATGATAAGAACCAGATTTATTCTATAACACTAGGCATCCTCCACCAATATTTCTACATTCTTCTTCTCAATTTTAATATAATCCTAATGTCACCTTTAATGGTTCATCCAACTTAAGTTGCTTAACAAACACCACCTTCCTCAAATGGTTGTGAAAGACCACTGAAATAAGGTGAACCTGGTTCCAAATGAAATAACCACCAAAATGCCATGAAAGTAGCTTTCAGAGATGTAGCATGCCATAGGGTGCCATTAATTCCTCAAAATACCATTCCTTAGTTCTATGCATAAACTTTGGTTCTTCTGGTAACTTTATCTATACATGGTTTCTATTTGAAAATCTTCATATATCCTCATATATCCTTCTTCCCATGCAATGATATGTGGGGCCGGGTGACCCTTGCCTTAGAGCGTTGTAGTCTTTTCTTTGTTTCTTCCATGTTCCATCCTTGTTAAAAAAAAAAATCTTAGAATCTGAGTTGTTTGGGAATCAAAATGAATAAAGTTCAGAGGCAAGAGATTTATTGCCCAAGTTGTATATATTGCGACATCAATAAACGTGGAAGCAGCAAAGCCATAAGTTTGAATCTCATTTATAAGATCTTTTTATAATGATCTGATTTTGAAATGTCAGGAGAAGTAAAATTATTGAACCTTCCATTTCATTTTATGATGCCCCTTAAATTGCTTTGGTAGTTTTAGGTTCAGCTTTTAGAACAGGGAGTGGGTTAGCTAGTTAAGTCGTTCCCTTTAAACCATGGCATGTATACATGGTGATAAACAATCATAAAAGTAAATAAATAATTTAAAAACATAACAAAATGAGCAAATCATAGTATGGAGTAAATAAATAATTTAAAAGCATAGTAAAAATAAGAAAATCAGAGTTTGAAGTCCTTATTTCTTGTTCTCATTCTCATGGCATCTCGTCTTGAGTGCTAAGTGCCATGGTTTTTTGCTAACTGCAGCTTGGAGTGTTATTCAGATGTTGCAAACCAACCATTCTGGCAATGCATCATACTCAAGTTCAACTGATCCGTATGGTTATTGCAACACAAGATATACATGTTATTATTACAGTTATCCACAACAAACCAAACATTCGTACCATTATCAAGTAGGAATTATCAAAACTCAGGTGCTCCTTATCGACCTCTTCATTTCAGAATACAGGGTCCTATGTTTGGCCTTTCCACACATAACTGATGACTAGGATAAACAAACCCATGGTGTAAAAAGTAAAAAAAATAAACAAACATTTACTTACTATCAATGAACATAAGATACCATGTTTATGTAAAATAATCTTTTCTAGTATTACCTTTTTATACAATCCATATTTTTTTAATGAATAATACAATCCATATTCTAGTTATATTTTCACCTTATTTAACAAAAGGAGTTTTTCTTTTCCATGTTCACCTTATTAATTTATAAATGTATTTTTTTGCTCATCTTGTTTATTCTTGGAAAGATCATACAAACTTGTCATAACTATAACTGAATGACATTTGTCAAGTGACAATCAGCTACACTTCGACCTCACAACCTTATGTAAATTACAAGTAATGAAGTTGTTGCTTATTTTGCAAAAAAAAAATAAAAAAAAAAGAAAGAAAGAAAGAAAAGCTTTCACTAAAATTGGTACTCGTAACAGTTGTGCAAAAGAGGGCTTGAATAGGGGAGCATGGTCGGTTTACGGGGATCAGATACTCATTGACTACATCACCACTCATGGAGAAGGAAAATGGAGAGAACCTCCTTAAAAAGCAGGTAAGCCAATTGTTCTCTCCATATATAATTTCTTTTCTTTTGCTGTTACTGCTACTTTTTGGTTACAATATTTCAATTTTCATTGTGGGTGTTATATAATAATTGTAGGATTGAATCAATGCAGGAAGAGTTGCAGGCTTCAATGGTTGAATTATCTGAGGCCAGATATCAAGAGAGGAAACATTTCCGCAGAAGAAGAGGAGCTTCTCATCAAACTTCATAGACTTCTGGGTAACAGGTGCAATGCATGATTTGCTCCCCCCCCATTCACCCAACCCCATTAACTAATGCTAGCTGGACTGAAGTGAAAGCCCCAAATAGAGAAGCTGAAGGAAACTTATAGATTCTAAGCAAAAGCTAGCTAATTAATTAAAATTATATAGTTGTCAATACATTCAAGCAAGTCGATCAAATTTCCCCTCAAGACCGAGATCAATCTCTTGAAAATTGAAACCCCAGTTATTAATTTTTCTAATTTGGTGGTTTGAATTAATGATGTACACTGAGAAGAAATTGTCGTGCTGCATGCATGCAGACGGTCGCTTATAGCATGAAGACTACCAAGTTGTGTTATGTCTAATTATGTATACAAGTTGTGTTACTGGTTGTATCTTAATGGAAAAAGTGTTTATGGTGGGATCTTCTAACCCTGTAATCCCATAACCATCTCTTCCTTACAGAGGGTGGAATTAAATTACCTTGTGAAGAATTGTTTGACCCTTCTTAACCTCCAAAACTGGAGCAAACCCAAAATGCAGTAACTATAACCCACCTTAGTTTTTCCTGTAAACAAGAATGCTAGAGCCTTAAAGGGGATTGTGGAAGCCACATCCATAAGTCCATAACAAACCATGTTGAGAGCTACCTGACAAACAATGTAAGACTCAGATTAATATCATTTGCTTTCTATGAATTGCAGAATGTTGTTAGTTCATCTTGTATCTTTTGCCTTCATTGTACTTGAAGTTTGAGATAATTGGGTTTTATCTTTTGGTATTTTCAGGATAGTCTTGTTGCTTTGGCTGCTCATGCATCTGAACCTAGTGAAGCAGAAAGACTAAAATTTTTGGCATCACCTGAGGGAAGGGTCCATAGTTACCATTTTTCCCTTGATAGTGCTACAGTATTTATTTGGGTTATTTTCTTGTTATGATTGCATGGCTATCACTTAGTACCTTTCTTTATATTTTTAATTTGTTTTTATTATCTTTTCTATTTCCAAGATGAGTATTCGCAATGGGTTGTTGAGAGTCAGAGAAGTCTCTTGGAAGTGATGGCTGAATTCCCGTCAGCTAAACCTACCTTTGGTTTTTTTTGCTGCAATAGCTCCTCGTTTATAGGCACGGTACTATTCAACTTCGTCCTATCCAAGGTGATTTGAAGAGTCCTTGGCATGGACGAATATTAAAGAGTTTTGCTTGAATTTCTGTTTCACCATTAGGAAGCATTGGTCATTTGAAAAACTATCAATGCAAATTGCTTCTTGTGTATTAGATTTTGTTTTGGATATTCAAATACATGTATTTGAATAATTTGTTTTGGATATTATGTAACTAATCTTTAAATTAATAGATTTTGTTTTAAATTGCGATTTTTTGTTTTACTTAAGTTGTTTTTATGTATCAATGGTCATGAGATTTGTATTAAAACATGTATTGAAGTGATGAATCAATAAAAGTGCATGTGCAAAAAATGTTGGAATGAATATGGTATAAAAACTAAAAAACCTAAGGTGGCGGTCATATAGGATTAAGCTGGCGGTTCAGACTACCACCTAAGGTAGGAAGCAACATCTGGCAAAACCTAAGGCAGCAGTCATATGGGATCTAGGCCGGCGGTTCAGACCACCACTAATGCTGAAAGCGATGTTTGGCAAAACCTAAGGCAGTGGTCATATAGGACCTAAGCCGGCAGTTCAAACCGCCACCTAAGATAGCAGGTGACATTTGGCAAAACCTAAGGCAACCGCCGTCTTTAATAATGTTATGTCGGCAGTTTTGACAAACCAGCAAGAAAAGGTGGAGGTCTTGATCTAAGGCGACACGGGCTTAAGAGGCGGGTGTATGACCACCGGCATAGGTCTAAGCCGGCAGTCTTTAGGCCTGAACCGGCGGTTTTGCGACTGCTGGGTTATACCATTTTTCTTGTAGTGGGACCACATTTTACTTTTAGGAAACAAATGACAGTCAAATATGATCAGAATTTACCCTCAGCTTATTTTCACTCGTGCATTTGCACCAATGACTGTACTTCGGGCTAGAAACTATCGACCCTAGTTTAAAGGTAAAAATGCAACGGTGGGGCATTGTTGAGAAATTTACTTGATTAAAGTAGAAGGGGAGTTTTTACCATTTAGGCCCCCTTTGCTTTTATTTTCCAAGTAGAGAAAATAATGACCATTTTATCCATAAAAAATTTATTATCAAAAGGGGCATTTTTGTCCCTTCCAAGTGTTGGCAATTTTCCCAAGATGGGAAAGTTAGGCCATGTTTGGTTCAACTCTCATTCTTTTTTATTATTGCTCAAGATGAAATTCTAAAATGGACAAGAATGGGTAAAAAGAGAAAATATTGCTATGAACACAATACTTTTTCCTAAAAAAAATGATTTATTTTCAAACTGACAACTGGGATTTCGTAAAAGTGTTGTCATAAAAGTGCTTTCGTGTCAAAGTATTTTTGTAAAAGTTCTTTCAGAAAATACCTCATTCGTAAAAGTATTTTTCATAAAATTACTTTTATAAAAGTGGTTTTTGTAAAATTACTTTCGTATAAAAGTAAGTGCACTCATAAAAGTACTTTTGTTAAAGTACTTTGCTTTCGTAAAAGTACTTTTCATAAAATAACATTTATAAAAGTGCTTTTGTCATAAAAGTGTTTTTATGCTGATGGCCGCTGGCATGGAGTTTCTTTAAAGAATGAAAATGGGCAAGATGGGGCATGGTTATTTTTCATATTGTAGGCTACCTCAAATTTTGTGATATGGCTGATTTGTCATTCTGAAAAGAATGAGGCCGATGGCAAGAATTTTGTAACTAAATTCATTCTTGGTCATTTTGGCAAGAATGAGCAAGAATTGAAAAAAAAAATGAGGCCTTGAGCAACAAATTAAACATGGCCTTAATTTATTGTCTTCATATAAATCTGAAAAAAGAACATGGGTTTCTTGATCAATGGGATTGACAATCCCATTGCCAACTTTCCTCCCTCTCAAAATCTCAAGAATAAAACACTCCCTCATTGTTTTTCACATGCCCTGTTAATGACGGTAATAACAAGGCTTGCAGTTATTAATGTATCAAACATTGCATCCACACAATGTTCTCGTAGATCTTCCTATTTGACATAAGGGTGCAACTTGGGATGAGCTAGGTGTCAACGATAGCCTAAAGCCCAACCCTAAAACTTAAACACTAGGCAGGGTGTAGCCCAACATGATGTCAAGGCCGAGTTTACGAAACTCAAGTCCAGCTTGAGCTTAACCCAACATAACTTAGGCCAAGCTTATAGGGGTGTTAATTCAGGCAATTCGGTTCAGCTAGAACCGAGAACCTAACCGATACTTTGGTTTTGTCATTCTCCTAAACTAAATCGAACCAAATTCAGTTTAGTTTGCAATTCGGTTCAGTTTAGTTTGAACACCAAACCAAATCGAACCAAATTCAGATTTTTTTTGGCAAGAGGAGTAAGGTATTGGCAACTGGCATATATATATATATATATATATATATATATATATATATATATATATATATATATANTATATATATATATATATATATATATATATATATATATATCAATTTATTCGGTTTTTGGTTTGGTGTTCGAATTTGAACACTCCTGCAAGCTTAGGCTTAGTGGGTTTATGGTTGGATCTGGGTAGGTTGGTCGGGTTTAAAGGGATATTTGAAAATATTTTTTTGCACATCCACCTTTTACTGGGCTTTATAGCTCAATTTAAGAATCGAATGAAATGAAAATATGCACATATATATAGGTGCTTATGTCACACGATGGTGGAAATGCTTGAATGATGAAGTCAAATGCTTGAATGAAGTCAGGCTCAGGTTAAATCATCAAGTCGGGTACTGGTTGAGCTTAGGCTATTTTAGGCCTCAAACCAAGCCCAGCCTGAGTTTATCTAAACTGAACAAATAATAAAGATTAAAGAAGCAGTTCTTATGGAAAAATAGTACAATAAAGTTTTAGTATTAGAATTTCATATTCGTAACCTGAACAGACAATACAATACAATACAATACAATACAATATAGCAACAACTCTTATATAAGAAGCAATACAATAGAGTTTTATTATCAAAATATCAAGAGTGTAACTTGAACAAACAATACAGTAGAGCGAAGGTTCTTATAACACAAGGTTAAATGGCCATGAAATTGTAATGTAAAGCAATCATCTCCCACTATCTAATGATATTACAACACGATCCTTTAAGCTATCATATTCATCAGCTTTGCAACTATGTAAATTCGATGACTGGCCAAGCAAACACTCAGCTTCTTCATGGTTGTGTTCTACCCATGGATGTTTGCTGTACCTCCTCAATCCTTCCAATTCCATTGCTACTTCCTTCATTGTGGGCCTTTCTTCTCCCTTCACACTTAGACATCTGTTTGCAAGGTTAGTTACTTCTTTAAGTTGATCCTCGCTAGCTTCTTGCAGGACTCTATCCTCCAAAATCACTAAAACATTTTCTTCTTTCATGGATGTGACAAAATGGGTAGCTAGGTTCTTCTCATTTTCAGGTCTGTCAAAATCCAAAGCTTTTCTTCCTGTTAATAATTCCACAAGAACGATACCAAAACTATAAACATCACTCTTCTCAGTTAATCGACTTGTATGAAAATATTCTGGGTCCAAATACCCCAATGTCCCTTGTACTAATGTGGTAACTTGAATTTTGTCCGATGGAATTAATCTTGAGGCTCCAAAATCTGACACCTTTGCCATGTAATTATCATCCAAAAGTATGTTTGCAGATTTAACATCTCTGTGAATAATTGGAGGAGAGGCTGCAGAGTGCAAATAGGCTAGTGCTGCCGCAGTTTCTGAAGCAATCCTTAAACGATCATCCCATGAAATTGAATATTTGTGCCCCTCATCGTGAATGTGATGGAATAAGGTTCCATTAGTTATGAACTCATATACTAACAGTGGAACTTCAGCCTCCAAGCAACAACCCAACAACTTCACTACATTCTTATGATTAATTTGAGAAAGAACAACTACCTCATTGATGAATTGCTCAACTTGATTTTCATCCATTATTTTGGACTTCTTAATGGCTACTTTCCTATTGTTGGGTAAAAATCCTTGGTATACTATACCATAACCACCACGACCCAGAATCCTTGTCTCATCATAATTATTTGTTGCCTTTTTGAGCTCTTCTTCAGTGAATATCTTTGCAATTTCTTCATTTCCATCACATGAAGAGAGTTGTTGCTTCAACAAAAGACCTCCATTCTGCTGAAAGAACATTTCCTTGCGTTTGCTCTGATTTCTCTTTTCAATTCCCCAGTATATCCAAGAGCCAATAAATAGCACAACCAAGATGCCAAAGCTAATTCCTACATGGACATAAGAAATGTCACGAGCAGGAAAATGTCCACAGTTTAATTGAAAATAAGGCTCTATTCTAATACAATTATAAATAAATAAATAAATAACTTTACCCAGTTCTAAACCTGTTTGGCTTTATAACAGTTTAGAATAGCCCAAATGACATTTTCTCTTTTCTAAATAGAGTTTTTCATTACATGCTCTCTCCTTTCTAAATAAAGCATGATTTTCAAAACCTGACCAGACTGGAAAAACTGGGAACTGGTCAGGTGACCGGTTTCGTTTTTCCCCAAAACCAGAAATTTGCCCAAAACCATTGATTTGGGTCAGCAAACTGCTAACTTGGGTGGTTAACAGTTTTGACCATTTTTTATTTTTTTAAAATTTTTTATTTTTTTGTCAGAACGGGCCGACCATTCGACCCGATAACCGAACCCCTGACTGGTTCGATCTCCGGGTCATTTTTAAAAACCATAAAATAAAGTTTTTCCCCTCAACCCCCAACCCGCCTCCCATTATTTAGGTTTGCTTAGGTTTGCTAGACGAGCCATCTTATATACCCTTAAGTCAATAAGAGATCTTTTAATCAATTTTATCCATTTCCTCGTGGAAAGATAACATTACCAATATTACCGGTCTTTTATATACCTGTTGTATACTTTTCTCTCTTTTTGAATAGATTTTACCTTTCTTTTTCAAAAAAAAAAAAAAAATTACATTACCGGTCTTGACCTCCATCAGATAGGGGAGTTTTGATCCATCCAAACATTCAGTTTCCTATTAAGATTGGTGATATTATTCAATATTTCACAATTCATATACGATGACCGTAGTTTGATCTAGTTAATGGGGCTGTAGTCAGAAAATTGACATCAGTAGCAGGTTAATGATGAAGACTCTTGAAGTAATGGTAGTAAAAATATGCTTCCAGGATGGGATTAGACCCATCTAGTGGCATATTCTCATCATTTAAACATGGTGCAAGTGGCAAATTATAGTCCATAAATCATTTTAATGGTGAAAAGAGACATCTGCCCAGTTGCCCAGTTGGCCTTTATAAATCCCTAGGTAGTTTTTGGGCAGGTTCTCTTTATAAATCATTTTTTTAATTATTCGGAGTTTGCATCAATTGGGGTGAACTTAAGGCTCAGTTTGAAAGGAGTGCAAATACATACAAAATAAAACGAAATGTAAAGTTTTGCACTCTACATATTTATATTTATACTCCTTCCAAACTAAGCCTAAGGTTATCTGGGCTCAACCATATGATCTGGACATCAATTCAGAGCCTGGAAGAATCAGATGTAAAAGCCCAAGTTAGCTTAAAGCCTAAACAACTAGTGTTGGTCTTGGGCTTGATGGCCTCAACCTAAGCCCAACTAGAATTGAGGCCAAGCTTGAGCTTTAACATCCTGGTCCAGTCCAGAACCTAAAAGGAGCACAGACTTTTTGAAAGTTTTGGTCGGGTAGGGTTTAGTCTCAAATTAGGCTTTATAATGTATAAATGCAAATGGGCAATTTAGGCTGTGTTTGGTTGCAGTGTGAACAGATGTAAAACCATGGCAGTGCAAATGATTTAAGTGTAAATTCTGACATATTTTTGTTTCAAATTTTAGCTTATTTTGTTTGATTGCTATACAAATGAAGTAAATTAAGACATGAAAATGAAATTTGCACTGCAACCAAACTAAGCCTTGGTACATCAATTGAAAATGGGCCAGGAAGACTCAATTTGAATCGGTTGAATGACCTTACGATGGGCCCATGCTGTGATATAAGGCTCATGGCATGACATTACCCATTTATGCAAGCATGTTTCTTAAGTTGCCAATGGTTTGTACGAGTACTGCTCCCTCTATGGACGGGCCTTCACATACGCCCCTAAATGAGCTTTGCTCAGCCTGGGCCGATTCTATACATACAAAGTTACATAAATACATACTCTTATATGCATATTAATTTATATCCAATTGTGTTTTATATGAATATGATACATAAATACAAATGTCATGTTAATATGGGAAATTTAATTTAGAGTCATTTACTAAAACACCCATTCTAGTTTGCAATCAATTTATTTAATTGACCTCTGTTAAGAACGTTTTTATTGCCGTCTGGAAATGGTCACGTGACCACCTAAACAGAATGGAAAACGTTTAATGGCATGAGCCCATGGTTATTTATTACAAAAAAGTATTCTTTGAATTGCAAATAAACCTTTTAGAAAGAAATAATGTATGTTTGGTTTATCAATTTCTAAACAATAGTGTTTGGTTTCGGCAGAATGAAAAAGAGAACAATGGCGTCTGGGTTCTTCATCTACAATAGTATATCTTCATTCTTATAACAAAATAAAACTGATCAAACAGAGTGGTTATTTGCATTTTATCAAGGGCAAGACAGGTATTTTCATTTTTATTTTATTTTGATTAAATTTGTTTAAACAGATATTAGTATCGAAACCGGTATTTTCCACTTCTATCTAATAGAAGGTTTTAATAATTCCGTGAAACTACACAGGGTGTTTGAGTAAATGATCCTTTAATTTAAGTCACATGAGAATAAGATATATGTGAAATCTCCTAAGGGCTCATTGGGTTTTTTGGATTTTGAGAGAGAAAAGTTGGTCAATGAGATTTTGGTTCTCATTGACCAAGATACCTATATTCCTTTTTCAGATTTATGTAGAATTAATAGAAAATTATATTCATCTTCCAAGTGAGTAACCAACTTTCGTTCATGGGGGAATGTTATAAAAGCTGATATGATAAAATTATCCCCTTTGAGATGGATTCAAGTATGTAACTTCTGAGTTATAGAGAAACCAGACTTGTAATCAAACCGCAATTCTCTAGTTAGATGACTGAATATATTATTACCTAAAGCGATTTGCATGACCGGAGATCGCTTCCCTTGAATGGCAGTGCAACCAGTTCCAGTTTTTCTTCCGTCGCCCACTGTTCCAGATGGACAGTAGCAGGTATAACTCCCAGGCGTATTAGTACAAACCGCTAAAGGAGATTTGCATTCATTCATAGCTTCATCAGCGCATTCGTCTATATCTGCAATCCATTCATAATTAATTCAATTATATATATATACATACTCTATCAGATTAGCCAGTATATTCAAGGAAGATCAAATTTCACAGTGAGTGATGAAGAGGCGGATGAAGATGAAATACAATACCTTGACATCCGTCATCGAGGTAAGGATTGCCTTGATAACCCAGAGAACAATTGCAGAGATATCCACGACCGTTGGGAGAGTTAAAGCATTGGCTGTTGCTGCGGCAAGCATAAGATGGGTCGATTCTTGAAACAGTTTCACACGTATAGTTTTCTATCGCCCAGTCAAGCACCATTGGAACGTTTTCTCTGTTTCGATTATAGAAATCCATATAACCCCCAAGATCGGACACTGAGAAGTTGTACCACTCAGAGTCAACCAGGAAAGCATAGGCGCATGGGTTGAAAACCAAGACGTCGGTGTGGTTATGGTAGCTATTAATATACAGCTTAAAGCTTTTGAAACCCTTGGGGATGGAAGTCTGGCAACAGCCAATGCCTGAACAAGAGCCGTTAATAAAGCCGCTTTGTTGGTCGTTACAAATCATGGAACATCCACTTGTAAAGTTGCGGCCGTTAAAGCCGGTAATGCGAGCAAAATTGTCGCAACCAATGACCGTGAATCTATTGCGGGTGTCGGAGAAAGTGAAGGGTCTACTATTCACTTTGAAAGAAGGGAAGCCTTTGTCATTACCAGAAGTACTGTTGTAGCAATCGTAGCCTATGTAGTTTAGGACGCGCAGTTGGGCCGGTAATAACGATATTTCTAGAACTTCTATGTTACCGATGTACAGTATGGGAGGGTCCAAACTTCTGTTGCAGTGTAGCTTGAACCTTTCTCTGTAACAGCTTATTGGATCGTCATCCAAGCCGAACGGGTAGGGAACGGTGACACTCCCACATTTTTTTTGACAACCGGTTTTTGCTGTTGACACGGTTGATGATATGGCCGTCGTCGGCGGTGGCCACCACAAAAGGAGCTGAAGCAGAATCAACACAACCAAAGCCATTAGGTATTACTGAGCTCACGTCTTTTGTTTCGTTAGGTGTCCATTTGCTTCCATCATTTTTATAGGTTCTACTGGAGATGCCAAATAAAAAATCAAAGACTAGCATTCTTTTCTTTTCCATCCCAGGTATTCGCTACAATCAGGAGGAGAAAGAGTTGTTTTGTCTAACTGAAGTGGTAAACAATCTCTTTAGGTTAGCAGAGGATTATCTCCTGATCGATCGGCCCAATAATGGATCAATGTGACACCGTAAAACAATTTCAGAACACGGGAATCCTCAGACCAGCCGCGTAGTAGAACTGTTCCAATTAAAATGATGATCACTTTCACGCTTACATCGCTCACATTCCTATATTACATCATGAAAAATGAACCGAGTAACGCGGTGTAATTTCGTTTTCATTGACTTTGGCTGATTTTGTTCACATCTTGAGTGTGTAGAACGCCATTAGGCCTTGGTCTTTCTGATTATTTTATCAGCCAATCATCTACGAGACTCTTTTTTTTTTTTTTTTACCTGGGCTGTATTTTATTTATGATTTCTATAAATAATTATCCCCTGCACTCCAATGAATGAGAGTTGGTTTGGATGTGTGTTACCATGCAATAAGATTTCTTCTTATTCTCCACCGGCAAGGCGGCAACCGAACCTGCAATTATTTTTTAGGGGTGTGTCAATTGGACTGGATTTGGTCCAATTTGGTCTAGTCCAATGTGAGTCCATTACAAATGGACCTGGTCCAATCCAGTCCAATGAATATTTTGGACCATTTTAGACCGATCGAAAGACTGTTTAATCTGTTCAAATTCCTGTTAATTTAGATTAGTTTCAACTCAAACCTGGTCCATTGATATCTATGTTCTTATTTTCTATGAATGGACCAGATATTGATTCAATCCAATATAAATTCATTATGGATGGACCGGGTCCAATCCAATATGTCATATTGGTCAGTCCGTTCAAACTCAATATGTCTTATTGGTCCATCCAATCCATCCAAATGGATTTTGATTTGGATGGAGTCCAACCCAAAACTGGTCCATTAACACCCCTAAAGTCACAAGACCATGCTTACACGTCCTCTCTCTCGTCCTTGTTCACTTTGTTCTTGGCCTTTCTTACAGCTACTAGCTATTTCAATGTAAGTTGACCCAAAGTAAATTATTGTTGGATAGGGGAAAGATGGATCCGTTTTAAGCATTATAAAATAATAAGAAAAATCTATAATGCCAGAAAGACAGAAAGACATGGTATCTAAAAAACTTTGACCAATCAAAACCATAATAGTAAAATTCGTTACAAGTTTTTTTTTTTCTTTTTTTCTTTTTTTTTTTTTTTATATCATGTCAACAGGAGCCGGGATATGATATAGGTCCAAAGTAGCAACTTGTTTCAATCCCCCAAGGATCCAATAGTTCCCTTCTGTGTATCCTTAAAACTTCATGCCAACAATCCTTGTCACATGCCCAGGATTCAACTTTAAAATTAGAAGTCTCTATGGCTGAAGTAATGAGAAAATGTTTAACAAGTGATAACAAGGTTTTTAAAACTGAATCAAACAACAAACCGGTCAGGGGTCTGGTTCCTGGGTCAAACAGTCGGTTTATTCTGACAAAAAAATTAATAAAAAAATGGTCAAAACCGTTGGGTGGTTCGAATGCCCAGGTCAGCGGTTTGCTGACCAAATTAACATTATTTTTGGCAAAATTCCAATTTTAGAGAAAAACAGAATTGATCATATGACCGATTTCCGGTTTTTCCGGTCCGACCATCCGTCCGATCCAGTTATGAAAACCATGAGAGGTAAGGTTTAAGGCTGATCTGGACTGCAAGTGAAGAATTAACAAATGGTTGATCTACAGGGCCCATAGGTGGGTCGTAATTCAAGCCTTCTTGACCTAGTTAGAATATCTTTGATTCACATCATTGTTTTTATCAACATCATCCTCCTCCTCCTCATCATCGTCATCATGACAATAACAGCAATAACAATTTTGAAAATGGCAAGCAAATATAAATAACTTTCATTGTTCAAACAACTTAAAAACAGCAACTAATATTGATAAAATTGTAAGTCCCAATTGAAATGCTTTTCTCAATTTGAGGTAATTATGTTTAGTATTTGTTGCAGTTATGGGCCATGTTTTACTGATTTTATATATTTCCCTTAATCTTTAATTTTATTTTATCTCCTGCTGATCCCCTATTGTTCATATATCGATTACATCCAAGCTCCTACGTACTGTTGGCCTAAAGCCGTTACCTCAAACCATAAGTGACAAAACAGTCATTAATTCAGCTAAAATCTAAAAAGAAACAAAATTTTTCTTTATTTTAGATAAATTTTTTATTTTTTTTTCCAATTTAGAAACCAAAGTGTGCTTCTTATATTGAAACAGAAGAAATAAAAAATAAATGAAATTGTACTATTAAATTTAAAGTAAAATTATTATAATTTCCAAACAAAAGTAAATTTATAATGGATTTTCTTCCATATGAGATTTTAAGAAAGGGTAACTTAGTCATTTAATATATATATATATATATATATATATAACAGTTTTAATAGAGCTGAGCATTCAGTTTTATTTTCCTTTTGTTTTTTTTAATTAAAAATGGAACTGAATAAACCAAAACTGAATTAAAGAGAAGCAAATAACCAAACTGAATTTTTCCTTCAGTTAAAACTGAATTTCATTATATAGTTCAGTTTTTGGGTTTCAACTAAAATATGTTCACCCTTAAGTATTAATTTTGTTTTAACAGTGGGGGCATGGCTGCATCTAATCGACATGGAAGAATCTATGTAATATTGAAATTAAAATCGCTAAAATATGAGGAGTAGAGGAAGAAAAAATCCTTTTTGAGATTTAAAATTAATCCATTGTGTGACATGATCATTTTAGCCCATTGTAAACGGCTAGATAGACTTTTATAAATGGCTTTCCTAATGCAATCTCACGACTTTGACCTACTGGAAAGCTAAAAATGGCATTTGAATAATTCACAAAAAAAAATCAAGTAAGAAGCTGACAAGATAGGGAAACTTAGTAAGGGTTTTCCTACCTTTTCCTTCAAACCAAACATAGTCTAAGAGAAGAACAAGAGAAAAATAGAAATGGTTTTTGTAGTGTAACGTTCTCATCCCAAAATCCATGGGAATGGCGTAATAATTCACGACTCATTTAGAATGAACATTAATTAATTTCTGTAGGAATAATAATTTGTTTTTTTAAAATGAACATTGTTGCGCTCAATCCATTGAAAGGAAAAATCAAACAAAGAATTTATTGTGAAAATAACGCTGCAAACAAATAGAGCATTAGTAACTATTGTGTCCTCATTTCCAAGGTTTTTAAAACCAGACCTGATACAGAACCGTTCTCGGGATCAGCTTTCGGGTTGAACCGTCTGACCATCCAGTTTGAATAGATGGTCCATTTTGACTTAAGAAAATAAAAAAAAACAGCCCAAAACTGTTGTTTGGGTTGACAGTTCAACCACCTAGGTCAGTGATTTATTGACCAAATCAACGATTTTTGGTCAAAAAGCAGTTTTAGGATAAAACGGAACTGCTTACCTAACCAGTTCTTGGGTCAACCGGTCCAATAGTTCAGTCCAGTCCAGTTTTGAAAACCATGCTCATTTTTGTTAAAAACGTGAAGCTAACCAGGAGCATAGAGAAAGAACCTTTAAAACCTTTGCTTTGTTTATGTGCACTATGGAGTGCAAATGTGAGCCAGATACTAATTTTGCACCTGATGCAATTTTCAATCGATTTGTTTTTAACCATGAGTCCATGATTCTCACTTTGACATTGATGTCACGCAATCTGAACACTCCCTCATGTACTGTGATTTGAACTCTGAATGGATGCCAATCTGGCTGGGCTGAGCTGATGTTTGGGTGTCCAAGCTGAAGTGAGCTACAAAGGAAGAAGGGTGAGAGTGCCCGAGTAATTTTTACCTGGGGATGGCACTCCGATGCTTAAGTCAGTAGGTGAATGGAGATTCCTCTAAGAGTGTGAGAGAGCTTGAGAGTATTAGTGTGCATGCCTTTCTAAGTGGATCTAGATGTCTTTATATAGGCCCCTAGACTCTAGGGGCTCAGGGTAGCAGTCTTGAACCCTTTGTGGAGCTGTTTCCTCATTTTCAAGTGCATTAAGGTGCCAATTGAGAGATCTTCATGGGAGTTTTGATTCATCTAAGTGAAGTCAAGGCGCGTGATATGGCGAGTCGTTCTAATGGTCGCGTTGTTAGCGCCTTTAGTGATGAACCGCTGGAGATGGTTAGCGAGCTCTTCCAAATAGGTTGCCTTCGGGTCTCTCAACTCGACCAATTCCCAGAACAGGTCGCCGCAATCTTACGGGATCTGCTAGCTCGACCTTGTCGATGTGGAGGTCAGCCCAAGCAAGGTGGAGGTCTGCCTAAGCGAGGTGCTCAAAGCTAACTTATCGAGTTGTTCTATTGATTCAACGTCAAGGTGTCGTCAGGAAGCCACATGTCACCACTTGTTTGGGAGGACCAAATCACCCCTCATCAAATACAAAATTCATACTTTTGGCCTCTTTTGCACTCATTTGCAATGCAAATTTTGTATTTTAGAAATTGATGGAAAATTTACACCACCTTTTTTCCTACGTCAATCCTCTCTTATATAAAAATGTTGCAATGTGCGATCTCCAAGGCACATTGTGGTTTAGTATATATACTAGCCAGGGGCGCCCATGTTGAGCACGGGAGAGTAATACCGAGTAATTAGGAGAGTAAAAAATTAAATAAAAAGATTAACAAAAGTTATGGTTAGGGGATTCAAATCTTGGCCTGTAATGGCGGTAAAGGTTGTAGTGGCGGCACTGATTGGAGGGTTGGGTTGTTGATTCAGAGCAACAGAGAATAAGAAGAAATGAGAGAGAGAGAGAGAGAGAGTTGTTAATAGAACAAGATTTGGTTGCGAAATTTTTGGAAAGCCAGGCTGGCAATCCGAGGACATCTGCCAC